GAGGCTTTCTAAACACTTTGTGGATGTGGCAGACCCCGCATAAAGAAACTATCTGCGCCCGTTTCACAAAACGGGACAAATCGAGGCTCCCTCTCAGCGGCAGGCCGCGGGTAACGGCCGCCATCTTCGTAGGAGGCAAAGGGCAGCAGGGCGCATGTGCGGTCATCCTGGGCCAGGAGAAAGAATGTTGTGAATGTCTCTGCTGGACTGAAAGGGATGGAGTTTATAAACTGCTTTTGCAGGGAGTGAGGAGGGGAGGATTTACACACAGCATACTCCAAATAACAGAAATATTTGTCTCTTCTGAAATTCTGTCCTGGACTGACTGAGATGGCTTTTGTAAACTTAATTTACAGCATGTTAGAAGAAGATTTACAGAGTGCAAACTCAAACCACATAACATACCAAGATCTGACAGTGCCACTCAGCACTGGATATTATTGGCCTTTCAATGTAAGTATTGAGCAAGATAAAAGTTATAAAATTCCTTTCTTATATCTCCCAGTAACTATTGCCTCGTATCTTAAATCTGTGTGTCTCTCGGTTTTACTGTTGGTAAAGAGGAACAGCAGCTCTTTGTCTACCTTATTTAAACCTATTATAAACCTAGACACTTTATCTCAATCTCCTTTGCTCTGTGCAGAACTTCAGTTTCCCCAACCTGACCTTACAACTCCTCATATCCTTCTATTCTTGAACCATTCTGATTCATCTCCTTTCAAATCTCTCCTCAGACCCTCACATCCTTTGTCGAGATCACCTGTTTGTGCAGACCAAATGCTCTCTGTTCAAGTCGGTGATGTTATCTCACACGAGCAATTGCCCAGTGACATCACCCTGATTCCCAGTTATTTCCTAAACTATGGGTTTCCTCTGATCCCAATGCTTCTGATATCTTCTGAGCTGCAGACTCCAGCATTTGATTTTAAAGTTGAACATAATGAAATAATTTCAATGTTTTTAACCAGTAATCTACACAATTCACCTTCTCATGTTCTTCTCAGTTATCTGACTCTGGGACTAATGCGACTCATTTTGTCACCCCCTTGTTATGTGGCTTGTGTCAAGAGCTGCTTTACAACACGCGACATTGTTCTGGTCCATCTCTGCTCTCCCTCATCAACTTGATCATTTTAATCTGCTATGTCTCCTATAATGTGTGTAACTGTCTTATTTTATTGTTACTTCCATTGACACTCATGAGGTTTTTACAGCTGGACATTGCCTGACCACTTGCTGCTGGCAATTATTGTCCCTTAATAGGTCCCACAAGACTGTTAGGTAATGAGTTATTCACCAAGTGATGATGAAGGAACTGTGATATGTCTAAATCAATGGCAATTCATTTATATCAATATTGCACCCTTCACACAGTGGAAACTTCCAATCTGTTCGTCGAGAGTGTTATAATGCAACTTTTATGATGTTATAATGCAGCAGGAAGTGCTACACCTGCCCCTCTCCCTCCCCCTGAACTTCCATCCAAGGCACCAAACAAACCTTTCACATCAGACGAGGTTCACCTGTTCATCCGTCAATGTGGTCGATTGCATCCGCTGCTTCTGATGTGGTCTCCCCTACATTGTTGAGACCAAGCGGAGGCTCGGAGACCGGTTTGTAGAGCACATACGCTCTTTGCGACAAATGACAACACCTTCCGGTCGCGAACCATTCCAACACCCCCTCCCACTCCCTGGGCGACATGTCCACCCTGGGCCGCCTCCAGTTTCACAATGACGTCACCCGGAAACTGGATGAGCAGCACCTCATATTCTGCATTAGGAGCCTACAAACTAATGTTCTCAATGTGGACTTCACCAGTTTCAAAATCTCCCCACCCCTGGCCTCATCCCTCTCATCCCTGCCTCCTTGACCTCATACAACCTGTCCATCTTCTCTCCAACCTATCTGCTCCTCCCACCTCACTGACCAATCCCCACCATTGCCTCGCTGCACTCATCTCTCCCCATCCCACCTCCCTTCCCCAGCCCCACCCCTCCTCTCTCTTTCTTTCAGAGCTCCCTTCCCCCTCCCCCATTTCTGAAGAAGAGCGCCGACCCAAAATATCAACATTCTGCTCCTCTGCTGCTCAGCCTGCTGTGTTCTTCCAGCTCCACACTGTGTTATCTCTGACTCCAGCTTCAGCAGTTCTTACTATCTCTTGATTTCAATGCCTGGACTCTGATGAAGGCTCCTGACTCGAAATGTCGACTTTCTTGCTCCTCTGATGCTGCCTGACCTGCTGTGTTCCTCCAGCTCTAAACTGTATGGACACTTCTTTGAACCTTGTTTGGTATTTTGTTGTTATTTCTGCCAATTGTGTCTAAATGAGGTTTCTGATCCTACCCATCTCTGGTGACATGCTGCTAATTTCCCAGCTTTATCTTCCCACGGTCAGGAATTGTTTGTTTTGCACTGGAGATCATTTCTGTTTCTGAGCTAATTTTGACAATTAAATAGTTGTTACGACGTCAGGATAGCAAAGCAAAACAAATTAGTCTCACTATGACTGGATTCACAACAGTGAAATTTAAAATATTGAAAGACCCTCAAAATTGCCCAAATGCTCCTGACCAGACTTTATGAATGACCGATCTTGGACACCAAATTTCTATAAAGAAGAAATAACAATAACTTGAGCAAAACAAACACAATCAACTAGGCAATCTCATCAATATCTGTGATTTAAACACAACCTTCTTCGTTTATAACCTCCACTCTCACCGATTCACAGACACCCACAAGGGATATATTAAACAGAAAATAAAATTAATGTAAATTTTCAGTTCAATTAAACAGTTTCAAACAATTGATATCAAGTCTTTGTGCAATCCTTGGATAATGAGTTGTCCACGGACACATGAAACTTTAGCAAACTTCAAAGTCAGCAGTGAATGTAACAGTTTCAGCAAGCTTCCATAAATATTATCTTACTTCCTATGTTGCATTCCTCAGACCATTCAACAATTTGATAACTGGATAGAAATTGAGAGACAAAGCAGCCAGTTCAAAAGCTTTCAAAATCACTGCCCCTCCTTGACCTTTTTGAACTGCTGCAGTCCGTGTGGTGAAGCTCTGCCCAGATTGCTGTTTGGTAAGGAGTTTCAGGATTTTCATTCAGTGGTAATAAGGTAGTGTTGATATCTGTATTAATTACAGTCATTTTGTTTTAATATCCCACCATGAACAGAATAGAAACATGGAAAATAGGAACAGGAGTAGGCCATGTTGTCATTTGATCCTGCTCCCCTATTCAGTATGATCATGGCTGATCTTTCAACGAGTAGCCTGTTCTCACTTTAGACCCACATCCTTTGATTGCTTTAGTCCTCAGAGCTATAGCTGTGTTCCTCTTGGAAACATCCAATGTTTTTGCTTTAACTGCTTTCTGTGGAAGAACATTCCACAAGCTCACCAGTCTCAGGAGAAATTTTCCATCATCTCAGTCCTAAACAGCATACTCTATATCCTTAAACTGTGACTCCCTGGTTCTGCACTCCCTCATCAACCTCCTTCCTGTATTTAACTTGTTCATCCTATTAGAATTGTATTGGTTTTCTGTGAGATCTTCTCATGTTCTTCTGAATCCCAGTGAACTTCATCCTGTCTGATCTATTCTGTCATAATACATCGGTCCTGCCATCCCAGGAATCAGTCTGGTAAACCTTAATTGGACAGCCTCCATAGCCAGAACATCCTTCGTCACATAAGTATTCCAAAACTGCACACAATGCTCCAGGTGTGGTCTGACTAAGACCCTGTACAATTTCAGCAAGTCATCCCTGTTTCTGTTCTCAAATCCTTTCGCGATGAAGGCCAACCGAGCATTTGCCGCCTTCATTTCCTGCCTCCACCTGCATGCTTACTTTGAGTGACTTGTGTCCAAGGACAAACAGGTCTCAGTTCTTGTTTCTCATTTCCCTTTTCTAAATGCAAGCTGACTGACTCTGACTTTGTCTAATCCTGTTACTGTTTTCCAGTGTTGGGCTAACCGATCTATAAGTCCATGTTTTCTCTCTACCTTCTTTTTTACATAGTGGGCTTACATCAGCTCCCCTCCAATCCATGGGAACTGTTCCAGAGTCTATAGCATTATGAAAGATGACCATTAATTTCCTCAATTTAGATTCAAGCCCCTAGTTTCAGATTGCATCCACTATCTCTCCTGCCACTTTGTTAACTACTCTGGGGCGTATATTATGAGGTGCTGGGATTTGTTGGCTTTTAATCCCATCAATTTCCCCAACATTATTTCCCTACTAATACTGATTTCCTCACTTCCTCCCTGTCATGTGATCCCCAGCATTTTAGTGATATTATTTATATCATCATTTGTGATGACAGAACCAAAATATACAGTTAATTGGTCCGTCCATCGCTTTATTCCACATTATAACTTCCCTTGTTTCTGATCGTAAGGGACTTGTTTTCATTTTTTTTTTCTCTTCATATCCCTTTTGGAGCTTTTACAATTAGTTTGTATGTTTCCTCCAAGTTTACCCTGAGACTTTATTTTCCCCTTCTTAGACAATCCCTTAGTCCTCTTTTGCTGAAATCTGATTTGCTCCCTGTCTTCAGGTCTGCTGCTCTCCTTAGCCAATTTTTACACGTTTTCCTTGGATCTGGTACTATCACTAATATCCATGGTTAGCCATGGCAGGGTCGCCTTTCCCATTCTTTATTTTGTGCCAGACAGGAATGAACAACAGTTGCAGTTCCTCCAAGTGCTCTCTAAATATTTGTCAACCCCCTTAAAGCTTAAGTTCTTCAAGTTATTGTAGCCTGCATGCACCTCATAACACTGTAATTTTCTCTCTTTAGATTTTGGTCCCTCGTCTCAGAATCATCTCTGTCACTCTCCATCTTCATGAACAGTTCTATCATGAAGAAGTCTTCACTTTTCCACGGCTAGATTGCCAATTAATCCATTCTCATTACACAATTAAAATTTTGAAATAAAGTTGCTGTGGTCCCAGAAGATCGTCAGACTGTTCTGTTTCTAGAGAGAGAGAGACGACTAATGGTGCTTTAACCTCAGGGTTACCGTGCCTCAGTCAATGGGCAAGGTTAAGATGGTGGAACCTTTATGGTGACCTCAGCTAGTACAGGAAGTGAGCATGTGCTGCTGGTGTCACTCTGTATTACAAACCAGCTGTCCAGCCAACTGAGCTTACCCAGCCCTGATTATTCCACAATACACCATTGAGGATGGTCTGTCCTCTCTTTGGGTACTCAATATGTTGATCTAGAAAACCATCTCTTTCACAGCCCAGGAATTTCTCCTGTATGGTATTGTTGCTGATTCAATTTGTTCAACCGATATGCAGATTGAAGTCATCCATAATAACTATAAGAGCACAAAACAGAGGAGCAGAATTAGGCATTTCGGCCCACTGAGACTGCTCCACAATTTGATTGTGACTGATATGTTTCTCACACCCATTCTCCTACCTTGTCCTGTTGATCCCCTTACCAATCAAGAACCTATTTGTCCCAGTCACAAGTACACTCAATTACTTGGCCCCCACAACCTTCTGTGACACTGAGTTCCACAGAATCACCACCCTCTGGCTGAAGAAATTCTTCTTCTTCTCCGTTCTGAAGGGTCATCCCTTTGCTGAGAGCGGTGCCCTCAGGTTCGAGTCTCTCCTGCTCTTCGAAACATCTCCATGTGCATCTATCCAGTCCTCTCAGTATTCTGGTCGTTTCAATCACAGAGTCATAGAGTCTGACAGCATGGAAGCAGACCCATTGGTCCAACCAGTCCATGCTGACCATTTTCGAAAACTAATGTAGTCCCATCTGCCTGCACATTGTCTATCTCTGAACATTTCTTATTTACATATTATCCAAACGTCTTTTAAATGTTGTAAACTGTACCTGTACCCACCACTTCCTCTGGAAGTTCATTCCACGCAAGAACCGCGTTCTGCAAAAAAAAGGTTGTCTCTCGTGCCTTTTCTCAATCTTTCATCTGTCACCTTAAAAATATGCCCCTGGTCTCGAAATCCCCCACCCGAGGGAAAAGACATCTGCTATTCACCTTCTCTATACTCCTCAAGGGCAGGACTTAAACAATTAATGGTAGGGCCCTGGGTCGTGTTGTACCTAGGTACCTTTGTACCTGAGATGGTGCCACAAGTGGCAACTTGTAAACTTTTCTCTGTACTTATGTGAGTACGTTTGACAATAAATGTTATTCCATTCGATTTAAAAATATGCTTCCCGGTCTTGAAATCCCCACACCAGAGAAAGGACACCTGAATTTCACAAACCTCTATAAGGTCAACCTCAACATGCTACATTCCTGTGAAAGGAGACCCAGCCCCTCCTTATGACTCAATCCCTCCATTCTCAGCAACATCCCGGTAAACCACCTTTGAACTCTCTCCAGCTTAATAATATCCTTGCTATAACAGGACAACCAGAATTGGATACAGTCCTGCAGAAGAGGCCTTACCAACGGACTGTACGACCTCAACATGACATCCCAACTTCTCTGCACAATGGTCTGAGCAATGAAGGTAAGCATACTAAACACGCAAATTTCAAAGAATTCGGTAACTAAAGCCTAAAGTCTCCATGGTCTACAATACGCAAGGGTCTACTTTTAATTGTATAAGTCCTGCATCCCTTGTTTGTTTTAGTACAGTACAGTACCCACATTTATTCAAGTTCAACTCCATCTGCCACATAACCCATAGACCCAATTGATTAAGATCTCTGAAATCTTAGGTAACCTTCTTCACTGTCCACAATGCCACCAATTTTGGTGTCATCTGCAAAGGTATTAACCATACCTTGTGTATTCTCATCAAAATCATTTATATAAATGTCAAACAAAAGTAGACTTAATACCAATCCCTGCAGAACACCACTGGTCGTTGCTGAACACCAGGCCTCCAGTCCAAAAAACAACCCTCCACTGCCATAGCCTGTCTTGTGACATTAAGCAAATTTTTTATCCAACTGGCAAGCTCACCCGAGATCCCATGTAAGCTAACTTTACTGATTAGTCTACCCCTTGTGGAACCTTGACAAGAGCTTTACGAAAGTCCAGGTAAACAATACTTACTGCTGTGCCCTCATCGATCATCTTGGTTACTTCATCAAAATCTCAATCAAATGTGTGAGACACTATTTCCCTTGCATAAAACCATGCTGAAAATCCATAATCGTTCCTTGCCTCTCCAAATGCTATCTTCCACAATCGCCTCCAACAACTTATCCACCACCAAAGTCAGACTCACACGCCTATAGTTAACAGGCTTCTCCTTACGTCCCTTAAATGAAGGCACAACATTAGCCACTCTTCAGTCATCTGGCACCTCACCCGTAAATATTTGTGCAAGCATCCCCACATTTTCTCTTTAACTTTACACAACACGTTGGGATGCACTCGACAGGTCGTAAGATTTAGAGTCATAGAGTAATACAGCATGCAAAAAAGCCTTTTTCCCAAACTGGTCCATGCTGGCTATGGTATCCATTAAGCTCGTTCCAACTGCTGGATTTGGTCCACTTCCCTCTCAACCCTTCCCATCCATGTACCTGTCCAAATGTTTTTTAAATGCTGCTATTGTACCAGCCTCAACCACTTTCTCTCGCAGCCCATTCCATACATGCACCACTCTGTGCATGAAGAAGTTACCCCTCAGGTCCTTCTTAAATCTTTCCCCTTTCACCTTAAACCTATGACCTCGCGTTTTCAATTCCCCATCCCTGAGATAAAGCCGATATGCATTCATCCTATCTTTGCCCCTCATGATTTTAGACACCTCAATAAAGTCACTGAGGAACGGTCACTGGACCCAAAAGGTTACCTCTGTTTTCTCCTTCACAGATGCTGCCAGACTTGCTGAGCTTTCCGAGCAACTTTATTTTTGTTCCTGATTTACAGCATCCACAGTTCTTTTGGGTTTTTTTTTCAATAAAGTCACTCCGTCATTCTCCTACGTTCCAAGGAATAAAGTCCTCCCCTGACCAACCTGTCCCTACAATTCGGGCCTACTAGTCCTGGTAACATCCTAGTAAATCTTCTTTGACACTTCCCAGTTTAACTATGTCTTTCCTGTGACAGGGTGACCAAAACCATACACAGTATTCCAGTGCAGCCTCACCAATGACTTATACACCTGTAACGTAATGTCCCAACACCTATACTCAATGCCTCAACCGATGAAGGCCAGCATGCTAAATGCCTTCTCCTCCACCCTTGTCACCTGTGACACCACTTTCAATGAACCATGTACTTGTTCTCCTGGGTCCCTCTGTTCCACAACAATCCTCAGGACCTTACCATTTACTGTATAAGTCCTACATTGGTTTGACTTTCCAAAGTGCAACACCTCACACTTATCTGTATTGAATTGCATTTGCCAACCCTCAGCCTACTTCCCCAACTGATCGAGATCAATTTTCTGATAATCTTCCCCTCTCAATACCTACTAATTTTGTATCATCCACAAACTTAATAATCATCCCTGTATATTCGCATCCAGATGATTTATGTAAATAACAAATAACAAAGGTCCCAGCACTGACTCCTGTGGCACACCACAGGCTTCCAGTCTGAGAAGTAACCTTCAACCATCACCCTCTGCTTCCTACCATTGAGCCAGTTTCGAATCAATTCACTAGCTCTCCCTGGATCCCATGCGACCTAAACTGCATGACTAGACTGCGTGCAGGACCTTGTTAAAAGCCTTATTAAAGTCCACATCTGTGAGATCACTGCCGTACCCTCACCTGTGCTCTTGGTTTCCTCTCAGAAAAAGTCTGAAAGATTTGTCAGACGTGACTTCCCGCGCACAAACCCATCCTGACAATCCTTAATCAGACCTTGACTATCCAAATGTTGGTTGATCCTGTCCCTCACTATCCTCTCCAATAACTTGCCTCCCACTGCTGTCAGGCTCACTGGCCTGCAGTTCCCTGGCATGTCTTTGCTACCTTTCTTTAAACAATGGATGATGGCTAATGTTGTTCCAGTCTCTTGGAACTTCACCAGTGGCTAAAGCTGAAGCAAAAATCTCTACAAAGGCCTCTGCAATTTCTTCCCTAGCCTCCCACCATGTCCGAGGATGGATTTGATCAGGCCCAGGGGATTTATCCATCTTAATGCGCTTTAAGGCTGCAAACACCACCTCTCTGAGAATAAGTATGTGGTCCAAAACATCCCCGCTTGTTTCCCGTATTTCCGTAGCATCCATGATTCTCTCCTCACTAAACACTGAGGAGAAATATTTATTTAAAAATCTTGCCCCATCTTCTGTGCCACAGGATATCCATCTTTATATTTTAGAAGACGTCCATGTGAACTGTTTTCAAAACACACTATTTTTTTTCCTGAATTCTCCAACATGCACTTCTTTCTCCACCGTAAAAACTGATGCAAAATATGAATATCTTTGTAATATTTCTGTCATCTCCTGAGGTTCAATGCTGAGATGACCTCTTTAATCTTTAAAGAGCCATGCTCGCTCTCTAGTTGCTTTCTTGCTCTTAAAGCACTTGTAGTATATCTTTGCATTATCCGTCACCTTATCTGTCAAGACAATTTCATATCCCCTCCTGCCTTCGTGATCTCCCACTTAAGAATGCCTGTACACTGTTTATACTGTTCAAAAGATTCATTTAAACCCAATTGTTTGTATCTAATTGATGATGAGTTTTTTATTCTTGACTAAAAGCTGAATATCCTTTTCATCCATTGTTGTCTAATTCTACCAGCCTTACCTTTCACTCTAACAAGAACATAATGATTCTGAACTCTCGTTACCATGCTTCTGAAAACCTCCCACTTATCAGATGACCCTTTACCTGCAGTCTCCTCCATTTTGAACTTTTGAAAGTTCTTGTCGCATACTATTAAAATTGGCCTTATTCCAATTAAATACTTTCACCTTTTCTGGAAGGCTTATTCTTTTCCATGACTGTTTTAAGACTGACAGAGTTATTATCACCAGACCCAAA